ATGCACAAGATATTGGGTTAATGCATACATTCCGTAATTTCATGTTTTGAGCTTGTCACTAGACGAAAACGAAGAGTACGACCTGCGAACTTTGATAGATATTGTTTACAGCGCTTCCGTCGAACAGGTTTGTTGCCTATATCATCTTAGGAAAGTTGAATGAGAGAAGCAATAAACTGTACATGCATTTGTATTTTCTCGCATCAATGATTTCAGACTTCTATATTTCTAGCAATTTTTTTATTCACCTTTTAAGCTGACTTAGGGTGTGAGTGGGTGTGGGTGCGGGTGTGGGTGCCAATTCAAGAAGGAATATACCCCCACCCACACCCTCAGGATGTATGGGAGTTTACGAAATTAAGCGAGAAGAACTCTGAATCAGACGGGCCTTCTGTTCAGAGCTACACTTAGTAATACATGTAGGAAAATATCGGGCTTCTCGAAACTGTCCTAGGACAGCAACGTATACAGCAAGGTAGCCGAACGGTGGGGTATTCTTCTTCTTTCTGATGAATGCAAACAACAGCCACACCCATATCCTCAAGCGAAATAGCTGGACATCATAGAAAAAATTCAATATGAGATAATTGATTTCAAAGAAAGACAAAATGACAAAGAACATATTGTTATGCCCTTGATCTTAGTTAGATATGTGCATATGGTTTTTTCCTCGTTAGCTATGGAAATTTTCTCATTCATTCTGTTCTTTTTTCGTCCATTCGTTTTTATGGAATTTTCCATTGGGAATTTCCCAACGGTTGTTATCATTATATATAGTGTCGCGTTGTTGTTTAGAAAGTGTGTTTTTGATGATATACGTTTTATAGAAATAAAATATAAGTGAAATTAACATCTCACATATATGTAATTCACATTGATAAGATCTAAGAAGAAAAGTGAATTATGTACAATGCCACAAACAATTGATTACGATTATATCAATTGTCTTTTCTTGCATCTAATAGCTTGATAATTAAATTCTTTGAAAAAATAAACAACGAAAAAATATAATTGTCATCAAAATCGAACGGATAATTTTTGCCACCACTGTATAGTTCTATTTGAAAAATTTTCTTGAAATCTTAATTAAGTGTGATTTTTTCATGTTTGTTACAGTGACTACGTACTTTATTTAATTAACTCGAGACTTTAACCCAAATTTTTTATGTGACACTTTATCTTTGTTTTATTGTTTGTTCTAAATATATGAAAGAAAAGAGCTATATGTACGAATATATATTGTTATCTTTCTTGTTGTCTCATTGTTGACTAAGCATTATATTTCATTTCAAAGGTTGATAAGTAAATTATATAAATGATTAACAACAGAGATATGACGATAAAGAAGAAAATGCGTATCTGTTATTTTTCGAAAATTTTCAGTTTTTTTTTCAGGTCAAAATCGTTTTTGTGTTTGTTACAGAGAAAAAGAAACATTATCTTTAGATTCGAACTAATTTAATATAAATGTCAAGAGGACGATCAACATCTTTTGATAGTCAAGATGGAAAAACAAGGCCGAAGGTTTTTCAAGTAAGATTTTATTTCAAAAAAATCCTTTTTTTCTTCTCTTTTTAAATTTATAAATTAGATAGACGCTATATCACAAACAAGTATAGATAATCATGCACCAAGTAGCAGTGAAATAAATGTTGAGGATCATAAAATTTCATCATCACCAAATAAAACTGATCTTCATCGCAATTTAAAAAACCGACATATGATTATGATTGCATTAGGTGGAACAATTGGTACTGGATTATTTTTAGCTTCTGGACAAGTATTAGCATCATCAGGACCTGGTGGCTCTCTGGTTTCTTATGTCGCTGTTTCAATTATGATTTATTTTGTTATGACAAGTTTAGGTTTGTTTAAACTTTAAATACATATATTTTTTATTTAGAATTTTTCAAAAAATTATATTTTCTAAAATGATTTGCTTGATTAATCTAACTGTTAGTTAGATAGTTTGGGTTTTTTTTTAAATAATCAATCGTATGACTAAATTAAATAACAAATCTCATAGAAAAGATTCTCTCAATAGGTTAATCAATCAATGAAATAAACTGAATGATAAATTAGATAAGATCAATATTAGAATATGTCAAACTATGCTAATTTCCATAAACAAATGCAAATGGAAAGAACAAAATGATTTATTTGAAAATTTTTATTTTGAAATCTTTTCTTTTTCAGAAGCAGAAAAGAAATCAAAGAAAGAAAACTTTTCATGAAAAATATTTAATAATAAAACATGGAGTTTTTTGTTTATTATTTTATGTTTATTTGGAAGATGAAGTTTTTTTTTCATATAAATTCCTATTTAACAATGAACATTTTGAAATGAAAATTGATTTTCAATAATTTCATATTTCAGTGTTTCTATTATTGATTTTTTTTTAAGATTAAAAGTATTTTTTCTCAATGTTCGATTTATTTAATTTGACATTGTCAGAAAATAGTTTAAAAAAATAAAATTTCAATAAGAAAGATCTTGATCATCAATCATATGAATTAAATTATCGATCGACTTAATGAGAATTTAAAAATATTGTAATTGATATTTTTCGATCACTTCGATGAATTTTCCATAATTAAAAGAATATTTGTTTTTAAATTTAAAATAAACTAATTTTATATTAAAAAAAAAAGGTTTATAATAAAACCAACTTATAAAAAGTCTTAGCAGAAGATGTCTCTTTGATAATTGTCTATTTGGAAGCTACTAGAGAAAATCAAAACTAATCAGCTAACATTACAATTTAATGCTCTACACAACAACGTATAGGTAATTTCTCTTTATTTTGACTTAATGCTATTTAAATGCGAGCAAAACATTGCTAAAAGACAAAATCGGCAGCTCTACACAATTTGTTATACTTTTCATTTTGATATTTTGATAAAAACAGATTGAAATCAAAAAGAAAATTTCTGTTTTTGTTTGTTTCTGAAAGATTTTCTGTTAGCTAAAGAGTATATGTATGAAAAATGTTTATAGATTTCGATTATGTCCAGTTCTAGCTTAGTGTGAATGAAAATTTTCTAGAAAGCGAAATCTCTCAAAGATTAACATGACAAAACTATCTCACACTGAGCAGTTTCTATAGAGTACATCAATATGGTTTATTTTCTGTCAAAAATACATTTTCAATATAAAATATATGAGGAGATCCTGACGCACTAACAGCAGAGAGTTCAGTCTTGAAGTCTTACGAAATTTTAAGAGAGAGACTTTTCAAGTTTTGGAACTATTGCTTTTAAATTATGTTGAAGTGTTTTGAAATCCAGTGAAATTTATTATTTTTCTTGTAAAATACTTTCAAGACAAAAGACTGCAAGAAACCTGTATCTCAACCTCGAAGCATTTTATGCATCTTTATATGAACTGAGTAGACATGTCAGACAGAAGAAAATGTTTTATGAAGAGGTTCTCAAATTTGAAACTGCGTTTGAATGCACGAGCATAGAGTGCTATCTAGAGACAGTTTAGATAGTCCGATATTTTTCCTACAACTATTACTAGCTGTAACCTTTGATAAAGGACCAATGGCTGGTCTGACCCAGATCTCTTCGTCTTAATCACATAAGCTTTTCATAGATACTGACTGATTGCGTATAAGCCACACGAGCCTTTTTGTGTAAATATAACCACGTAATCATTTTGCTACTGAGCGGATGATCCAAGACAAACAGTCGTCAGTAATTTTTCTAAAGTCATTCTATGTTTAATGACGTTGAATTTTTAAAAAATTCTTCGTTGAGAAAGTATACATACTTTTTTCAGCAGGGAAACTGTTAGAATAAAGTTTTTCATATAGAACAAGAGGTCTACGATTTATTTCGTAGATCGTTTTTACATTCTGTGGAAAAGAATACCTTTGTCTCAGATGATCAAAACGTAACCATTTTTTCTACCTAGAATTTTTCCAAGCTCTTAAAGAGTTAGAATAATTTTTT